CCGAGCAGGGAGCCCGATATGGGACTCGATCCAGGGACTCCAGGATCATGACCTGAGCCGAAGGCAGTCGCTTAACCAACTGAGCCACCCAGGCGCCCAATTCATAGGGTTCTTTCTTGCTTTTCCCAATCCGTATTTGTATCTCCCTTTATTTATAGTGAATATCCTGGCTCTCAACAATATCAACATATTTACCTATTTTTTCAATCCAATGATACATCTAAAATTGTTTCAGAATTGCTTCACCTGTTTTACTACAAAAACAAATGTTGTAAAAAAAAAAAGAAAAGAAAAATCCAGGGTATTTTGCAGTTCTCCTTGAGGAGAGATGGAGGGTGTATGGTCAAATACCATCTTTGTACATGTCTTAGATTTTTTCCCCCCTTCCTTCAGTTTGCATTTGGTTTGCTAGTCCCATCCTTGTTGATTTATTGTTAGAATGCTTCTAAATGTCAAAACTAAACAATAAAGGTCTACTCATAACAGTGTCATTTCCGCCCACGTCCGTTTTGCCCCATTCCCTCCTCCCATTGTAGATCTCCAGCTTCACTGCTTTGGATTTTTTCTCTTTTTGTAGAAATAAATATATGTATATATTTCCCTTTCTATTTTACACAAAGGTCAGCATGCTATATTTGCTCTTTGGCAATTTGCTTCTTTCACTTAAGCAATATTGCCTGAGTGGTGAGCATAGCATGATGTATACAGATATCTGTTCAGTCACTGTGTTGTACACCTGAAACTAGGGTAACGTTGTATGTCAACTATACTCATAAAAAAAATTAAAACCCCCACTGAAAAAAACCCCAACCCAGTAACTCTGGGAAATCACTCCTTATCAGTCATAGAGATCAACCTTTCTCCTTTCCCAGCTGCATGGCACTCTGTTGTGTGTACATAGGATCGTTTATTCATCTGATTTCTTATGTTTAGCATTTAGATGGTTTCTAATATCTTGAAATTACAAATAATGTTACATTAAAACCTTGTGCATATGTATTTTCATTTCGTTGGGGGTATAGCTTCAGGGTAAATTCCCAGAAGTGGAATTATTGAGTTGAAGGATAAATGTGTATGTAGTTTCGATAGATACTGCCAAATTTCCTTCTATGGGTGTTATAATCTCCCCCATCACAAGCCATGTATAAGTGCTGTTTTCTTCTTTCTTTCTTTCTTTCTTTCTTTCTTTCTTTCTTTCTTTCTTTCTTTCTTTCTTTCTTTCAGGACTGCCAGCAGGGCGGGGTGGGGGGTGGCTGGGCAGAGGGAGAGGGGAGAGAGAATCTTAAGCAGGCTCCACACCCAGCTTGATCTCAAGACCCTGAGATCATGACCTGAGCTGAAATCAAGAGTCGGACGCTTACCCTTCTGAGCCACCCAGCTGCCCTGAGTGCCATTTTCCATAGCCTTGGCTTAGGGTGCATTGTTAAGCTTTTAAGTCCTTTTCAGTCTAATGAGTGAGAAATGGTATTTCAGTGTAGTTTTAACTTGCGTTTATCTTATCTTGACTAAGCTGAGAGACTTCTACTTTTTAAAGCTAGAGTATAACTAGTGTAGCAACATTTTAAGCTTAAAATTCAAAGGTGCTATTAAAGAATACCTTTTGCTTACATTTGGCCATTCATGTCCTTTGATTAGACTAAGAACTTCAGTCAGTAGAAGAAAGCCAATCTTTTCTCTTGGTGGGGAATAAGAACTTGCTGGTACTTTAAAAAAAAAAAAAAAAAAGCTTTCTTTGCCTCGCTGTGCCTTTACATGTTTCTTTTTTTTTCTCATGGTATTTTAGGTTGGCCAGGTCCATGGTGGATTGATGGGAATTATTCAGAGAGCTATGGTCAAGGCTTGTCCACATGTCTGGTTTGAACGCTCAGAAATGAAGGATCGACACTTGGTCACTAAGAGGTAAGCAGTGACATTACTCAGTATCCTTTGGGGTAGCATAAATTCTGATAAATCTTGACCTTCCCACCAAAGAAGACAGGGCAGTACTAAGGATTAAACCTAAAATGTATGGAGCTTTATTTGTGGTTAGCTTTTTCTGCTGAATCACCTTAGCTACGTTCTTAAAAATTTTAAGTCTGTAGTCATAGTGGGAAATACGAGATTAGAAGGCCCATACGTTTGTATTGCTGTGGCTTAGGTATAGTCTAGTCACTGAGTTTTCAGAGCTAAAACTTACTACCTTGAAAGTTAAATAATTGGTAACTGTTTGCTGAGTAAAGAGATGGCTGATTGTTTGCTGGATGTCCGTTATCACTTAAGTCCATCTAGAGACAGACAGAGCTAATGCTTTTTATGAAACAGAAGGAACCTCTAGGGCTTGGGATAGAGATGAGCTACCAGAAGCCTTTGTTGGGAAACAGCTTTTTGCCTGAGGCCTTTAACCGAAGGCACTTGGGTTATTGCTTCTAGAAACATGAAGGCGAGCTATGCTTTTTTTTTTTTTTTTTAAGATTTTATTTATTTATCTGAGAGAGAGAGAGCGCGCGCGCACAGAGGGAGAATCAGACTCCCCACTGGTCAGAGAGCCCGATGCAGGGCTCGATCCCAGGACCCCGGGATCATGACCTGAGCCGAAGGCAGATGCTTAACCAACTGAGCCACCCAGGTGCCCCTGAAAAAAAAAAAAAAAAGAGTGAAATGAAAAGTACTTGTTGAAATCTGTTTAAGGTCAGTAAAACTATTCCGCAGTTGGAGATTATTTAGCATTGGGATACTGGCAGGTGTGATGTCTCTATCCGAGCCACCAGCTTCTGGTGAGCAGTTGGAAATACAGGGCTGGCTGCAGGGAAGGCAGGACCTAAGCCGCGTTCTCAGCTTTATGGTGTCTGTGTCACAGGAAAGCTGAGCCCTACTCATTTAAGGAGCTTCTTTATACTTAATGGCCACGAAGCAGACTGGTCCGGCAACCAGTATTCCCATTTTTCAGATGACAAAATATAAGTACATGGAAAAGGGCACAAACCTCCTGACATGGGGGCGTCAGAGCACATGTCACATGACTACCTCGCATTCTTTTTTTAAGAGTAGGCAGAAAGCACTGAAGGTCGCTCACTGTGAAATTAGAGAAATTGAAATAGTTCAGATGACCTTATGCTTTTTAGAAAGGGGCCAACTTGAGTTGATTTCCTTTACTTATGTCTTATTTTTTCCCTCCTTCTTGCTATACAATTATATTTGTGCTAGTAGAGTGTAAAGAAGACCAAAGAGGACTCACACCTCTACCTTTATAAAGGTAGCATTTTGATCCTTTATTTTTCTTCACAGACTAAAAGAACACATTGCTGATAAGAAAAAACTACCCATATTAATCTTTCCTGAAGGTAAGAAAGGGTGACTGCATACCAAGCCTTAGTTGATAACAACAAGCGTGAAAAGTGTATGAGGAGGGACGCCTGGGTGGCTCAGTCGGTTAAGTGTCTGCCTTCAGCTCAGGTCATGATCCCGGGGTCCTGGGATCGAGTCCCGCATCGGGCTCCTTGCTCAACGGGGAGCTTGCTTCTCCCTCTGCCTGCCGCTCTCCCTGCTTGTGCGCTCTCTCTCTTTCTCTCTGACAAATAAATAAATAAAATCTTTAAAAAAAAAAAGTGGGGGCGCCTGGGTGGCTCAGATGGTTAAGCGTCTGCCTTCGGCTCAGGTCATGATCCC